ACTACACAGCGATACATCGCAGAGGACAGTCATCTTAGGACTGACCGCCGTTGAGAAGCTGGAATCATATTTCGTCCACAAATGTCTGATGATGTTTTACGATAATTAACGTGTGTAAGAATGTCTAAAGTTCATTCATCTTGGAACTAAGCATATCCTGAGTCTGTAACGCGGAATAAATGTAAATGTTAGATTCCTGACCTCAGACATTCATAAATACAGCCAAACAGCACACGAATGTGTTTATAATTTCTTCATACGTGGGTATATGGGACGTTTGAAGTTCTGGATACAGATTTAAGCGAAACAATTGCAATTCCGAGGAAAACATGGAGTGACGCGCATTTAATTACTAGGTTTAGTCACGTACAACCCAAGCACGGATGCATGTGTTCAGGGACGAATAATAATAATATATTTTAATATTGTCGTAAATATATAGACGATTATTTACTGGGAATCATTGGTCTTATGGTAGATGTAGAGGGAATTAGTTTTATTTTTGTCTTTGTAATGTGGTGTTGAAGAAACTAGTGAAGTGTTACGTATGGAGCAGAGACTTGGACACTCAGGAAGAAGGAACGGAAATACCTGGAGAGTTTTGAAATGTGGTGTTGGAGAAGAATAGAGAAGATCAGGTGGACGGATCGAGTGACCAACGAAGAAGTATTGAGGAGAGTCAACGAGCAAAGAAACATTCTGCAGGCGATTACACGAAGGAAAGCTAACTGGCTGGGACATATTATGAGAAGGAATGGATTAATGAGTGATATCACCGAAGGCCAGGTTGAAGGAAAGAGAGGACTAATAATGTGCTGTTCTAGTATTTGACTCCAGAGACTGAGGAAAAGCTTTAGAATGAAACCTGAGACTCCCAGAATAAATTACAGATGTGCCAGGAAGTACATGAAGACTTTCGGTTATGTCTATCAATGGATAATAACAATCATTGGACCAGTGACTGAAACAGATTATTCTAACGGACCCCTCAGAGTAGGTACCCGTCCATCTGATCACAGCTGAAGACAAAGACAGATCAAGTCCTCAAAACTTTGTGTGTTTTATAGTATTAGACGATGGACAAGGTACAAAAATTCATCTGTTCAGATTGAATTACACCATTGTCAGAACCATTCAGAAAAGTCGAGACTTGGTAATTTGAATACAGGATGTAGGTTTTGAGGTTTTCAAGTCGGTGAGTCTGAAGATGGCTGTCGGATGGAGGCAGCATGACCTCTGAAATGTCGGTAAACTTCTACCAGACTACACGGCCCAACAACCCAGAAGACAGCCATCTTCTTCAATACAGGATTTTTTGTGGTTGGCAAGAAGTCAGATACCTGGACTTAGTTATACTTTAATCCAGTTTCATTAAACTGACTAGCAGTGGACCACATCCGGTCCGAGACCACTTGTAACGAGTCTTGTGAAATTATTTATTAATTTGTTATAAGATAATTTATTTTATTTATTCCGAAGGATTTAAAAATATCGTGATTGTTATCTCTTCTGATACTTTATATACAAGCATCAACCATATTTGCTAATGAATTTAAAACCCTACCGTAAAATGTAAATTTTCGGGTTAAAAATTGTCAGATACAAGCTTTTGAAGGGGTGAGATTAAAATAATATGTGACTGTAATAATGTTTATGCGTTTAAATGAAAGAATTTTATGATATTGAGGTTATTGGTCTTTACTGAATAAGTATTATTAAAGATGACGAAAATTGGCTATTAGTTTAAAAAAAAAATGCTAGAAGGGGTTTACTGACCCTCGGATCCAATGTGAGGACTATTCTTGGTCCGAGGGAAATAAAACGCTGGACCACCCTGCTTTAATCCAGCATCAGGGGTACATGTGTAAGGTGTAAAAATAGTATCGATTATTAAATGTGCCTAACTACGTTTCTTTACCACTGGACTGAAAGCAGTCACGCATTTAAACACTAAGACTTTTCAGTTTTCATCGCTACAAAGTGGCTATTGTTAAAACGTATTGTTATTTTAAAGTCGCGTCACCCACAACTTGGCAGAGAATCAGATTAACACGTTACGTGGAATACAGATCTAAGTGCTGTTTAAAGCGGAAACAATTTATAATAGCATCTCGCATGAAAAACATATCCTTCCTATGCAAGACTTAAAATAAAAAATAATGCAGGAACTAAGCAAGGAAAAATCTGTCCTATTATACACCATGTAGGCGCTTGGGGGGGAGACCTCGGCACTAGGCGGGGAGGGAGTTATCAGCATCACGCTCCGGCCGCATTTTACCCCCAGAATAAGGGGTCTCATTGGATAGGATGCTGGTTGGGTCACTGAGTCGGTCTGAAATCAGAGGCTAGACGAAAATTATTTGCCGTTCTTGGGGATCGAACCAAAAACGTCCAGCTAACAGTGTAAGGACTGTGTTCGTAATTAAATGAGGGTTTTTGGTGTCCCGACGAAGATTTCACGCTGTGATAGACTCCTACTATTGAAATTTATCGCGGTGTACCTCTGATCTTTCATGCGTGACGTAAGACATACGCACATGGAGAGGTCATCCTTCGAAAATGTTACTGTTGGCGAGCAAGGTTGGTGTATGTACAGAAAATTCCTCACGCGTGAGAGCCATCTTCTAAATATCTTTATGAAAAAAGATGGCTGATGTAATTTCCTTCTTACATAATTCATTTATATTTAATATACAGCAAAATTTTGAAGAGAATGCACAGACATGTGTTTTTTTTTCTGCATGGAAAAAATTTGTAAAATGCGATGTGGATCCTGGCAAAGAGAAGGAAATATTTCTATTATTAAGAATGAAAATATTGATCAAAGTTTACATTTCTTCCGCTTGCAAAATTTACATGCTGGTTTCCACTAGTATTTGTCAATATTACGAAACAGAAATATTATTCACAAGGGGTAACTCGTGTCCACGTCACAGAGCACAGGATGTTTAGTCACCGGCTTCTAATCGCGAAGGCACATTTTTAGGGTGGGTATTAGTTCTGTATAGCCACGGTGGTCTAGCGGTTAGAACGCTGGCCTTGTAATTCTGGGGTCTCGGGTTCGATTCCCGGTTATAACTTGTGTTGGGCAAGGCCGTGGTCTAGGCAACACGGAGTTTTCCTCCGTGGCATCCCAACAATTACTCCATTCACACACAGAAGAAGGCAATGGCAAACCACTTCTGGATCATCTGCCAAGAACGTATATGAACAGGTCCCAGTCCGAGAAAAGGATGGAAGGATCCTGTTCATATGGACCTGTCGTCAGACAGAACACTAATAATAATAATAATAATAATAAATTAGTTCTGTACATCAAATAAGCAGTCGCCTCCTGATTACCTCGTCCCGCAGGATAATTATTCAGAGTGGTTCATAATTCCTGCAAACTTGCATTACACTTTCTGGTTCAGCTTTCATGATCAACATTCAGCTTCACATTCGACGTCTGAAATTGACAAGGCGTCGTTAAATAATCCAAGAAATAAACACGGACATTAAGGAGCACGCTATGGGCAAAGGTTTGGCACAGCTTCGTGGCGTCTCATACCATTAGAACAGCTGACTGATGTTCTAAAGAGAGGCTCTGTCTCCAATTCCTAACAAACGTCTACAAACGTTTTCTGTCTTTATTTTAAAGAGTGTCCAAACTCAATCTGGCATTGAACGTTGAGTTACATATCAAATGACTGATTGACTGATTCCTCCAGGAGAATTAAGATATTCTATCATAACAGGTACCTTACCCTTATTGGGAATTGTAACGAATTAGCCAGAAATTTAAATTATAATTTACCTTTGCTTAATTACGAATGCCGTGATATCAATTACGTGTAGCGAAACTTTGTCTAATGTTATTCTTTATATGCTGATTTTTGGTAACCATCCTGCGAAGGGTTTAACACCCAAATTCAATAAACACATGCCCCAGTGAATTTACATAAGATTTTATGTTTATATTCTTAAATTTACGCATTCTAACTTACCAGTCCATATTTTTTCTCTACAATACAGTGTCTCTGATTGATGTAAAATATTTACGAAAAGCTGCGATTTGATAAAAGATCGATATTAATCGAGAGAAGTACTTCACTTCGTAAATTATTCATTTAGGAGTTAATGAAAAACTATACTGAGTCAGTTGATCGTTAATTATTAATTAGCGATTAACAGCTTAATGAGCCTTCTATGTACCATCAAACAGAATGAGAAATGGACACTTGAGTAGCCCTCAAAATGTTTTCTGTGACACTACAACTGACTTGGCCGTCACGATCAAAGGATTTCAACGAAACTTGTTTAAACGTTAGGAGCCACTTGGAAGAGTGTCTTCTGTAAGAGCTCAAAGCACCGATGATGTAGCTTACAGGGTGTTGTGGGAAATGTTTGTCGCGATCTGGCTGTGTCTCAGAGCGTCTCAGCGTTATTTCCGTGCGGTGAAGATAATTTTGTCCTTGCCAAAAAGTGTGGTTCGATAATTGTTTTATGGCGATGACAGTGAACATTATTTTATTCATTACATAATAAAATTGATGTAGGTTCGTAATTAAATAATTTATCTAAACTTTATACGCCGTGTAAGAACGCATTCAGTTAGATACAAGTACAGCTAATGCTACCTTCGATAATTTTAACTTATTAAAATAGAATAAAGACTAAATTGTTTAAATATAAATTATTAATAATCGGAACATCTATATGACTTTTATTATAGACGTATTGCTTCTATACATTAATCTCTACCACTACATATTTCGACCTTACACAGTCATCTTCAGGACGATAGGTACTAAACGTAATTCGAGAGATACAGGAAAGGTAAAACCTACTTTCCTACCTACCTACCTGAAGATGATAATTTATGGTCGAAACGTGTAGTTATACAAATAATTATTTGGGAGTAATACTCCTATAATAAAGACTTGTAGACGGTGTTTTAATAACGGTTTATGCAGATACACATCAGGATTAAACAGTTGAAAGAAATTGTTTCAACTTACTTTTTCGGTGCCGTCCTCCTGAGGAATTTCCTTGTCGTCGCTTTCCGGCTTGGCGACTGAAGTTCCGGAACCAGTTGCCTCCGTTACAGCAACTGTTGAAACATTTTCACTCTCCCTGTTGTTCATTTGTTTCAGTAACTGATCTAAATTTACACCGACAGGAAAAGAACCAGGAGACCTGGTAACTGGATAAGCTCCCGATATAAAGAGGTCTGGTCCACCGCGTTTGTGATAATAATCCGGTATTATTTCGTCTCCTGTGTTAATTGTCCTTGTTTCTTCTATATTTTCACCCATTCCGAAATATGTATCGTCATTAACACCAAATCCGTGCAGTACTGAATTTCCACCTCGCTCTAAATATCCATGTTCTGTTCTGGCATCACGATATGTCTCAACGTTCGACAATGAATTCGCATCTGGAAATTCATTTGTCGTCTCAAAAGCATTATTGTCTCGCGCAGATGCTCCGTTCGACAACATCGTTGAATCCACAGGTGTGAACGTGTAGTTGTAATGACTTTGGGGTTGAGGTTCGTTTTGTGAAGCTCCTAACAATGTCTCAGGAGTCTTAGACCATACATTTTCGTTCAAAATGTGATAATCGTTTGGATTGAATCCAGTGATCGGTCCCAGTTCGTAAGAATTACCTTTAAAGTTATTACAACCATAAACTGGTAAACCGCTTGATATGTTATCTGAGTCTGGTAACATCGCGTCGCTCATAAAGACGCCTTCTTTTCCGTTAGGCAATTTTATTTTACCAAAGAATTGTTGATCGTTTCTGTGTCTACCGTTCGGAGTGTTAAAACGTGCACCGTCCACTTGGTTGAGATTTAAAATCTCCGGGCAGATGTCACTTTCTTGTTTGACGCCACCGAAACTTACGTCAGCTTGCCTCGACGCACTGGGCACAACCGATGCGCCATTTTCTGCACAAGTTTCGACCGGAGTGACGTCATTCGAAACTGTCTCCGTCTCTTCATCGACTATGCTGAGTCCGTCGAATTCCACTCGTAGGCTGTTACGACGACTGTGTCCTGGTGTTCTTATTGAAGACGATGAAGCTTTCTGCTGGTTTTCTGCGTTGTCAAGATCTGCTGAGTGCTCGCATTGACTGCTGCATTCGTCGTCATCTTCCTCCTGTTCGTCGTATTCTTCATCTTCGTCTTCACACATTTCCTGAAATAGAGCAAAGTAATTATCGATTTTTGTATCAAATTTTTGCTGAGACTCGTTTGTCGAGTGGGCTAGCATTTTTTAATGAGACATTGAGACAACCCAAAAATTGTTTCAAACACGACGGAATACAACCTGCTTCCATAAGCATCAGATATGAAATTCGAACTTGTTTCGATGCCTAGTTTGATATTTGGTCGCGTTCCCAAGGTCCTGATATTTTTCAGTGATGAAGCTAGATGGCAAAATGTTTTGCTTTCCAAGTGCTGCTAACATTTGGCGCCTTTTAGAAGTAATTTTAATATGGGTGACGGAAACGAAATAAATGTAGAGAGAGATTACCGATGTTGATGAAAGGAATGTGGAAGGAATTCGGGACAAATAACAGAGAAAAAACAAAGATACCAAAGATTTAATGGAAGAGAAGATATTTAATAAATGATGAAGATACGAAATGAATAATTCCTGATTGGGTTTCAACAGCCCAACTTTCATTAAAAAATTAATAGTCTGTAATAAAGTACGCATTTTAGAAATTAATTAATCATTAATCTATGAATTCATCAATTCAGTGTTTGCAATTAACACACTGATATTTTCGTCAAATGTCCGCCATAACCAACAAACACTGTCTCCATTAAATATCAGTTAATGTGTTGTTGATCTTAGACACTGTGTTGAATTTCAGCTTTTCTGATTTTGCGTTAGAAATCTCATATTACTCAGTTACACGATATAATATATATTTAAAACATCCTATATTCGTGTTTGAAGTTGGCTCTTTTCGTTATCCGAAGGGTTCTGATCACATTAGTGTGACCCTGAGATGACGTCACGATTATAGGCGTCTCGACGCCCGGCGTCGAAATTCCAAAGACACTCGATATATCCCCGAAATGTTTGGATCACATTCTACAGGCCCTGAGATGGCGTCGGTTAGGTTAGGTTGGGTAAGGTTAGGTTGGGT